GTTATAGTCTGATTTCGACAATATTTGGGTATAAGATGAAATACCTTGAGAACACTATTTGTGCAAAATTTTACTCTGATAACTTCATTGTTGTTTGATTTATATACTGTAAAGTGAAGAATCAAGTTCCGTTGAGATAGCTTCAGTGGTTAAGAAGATATGCAATATATATTTACCATTTAGCGGGCGGGACCACACCCATTTAAAAAAAATGTTCAGCTCACAAGTGCTTCTCACTATTGCGATCTCTTGTACCAAATTACAGTTTTGTATCTTAATTTTAGTGCATAGCAGTGGTCTAATTACGCCCATCTGCAATACCAACGCTCCTTTGGTGCCACATACATATGTACCAAGATTCATCAAGATTTCTCAATCTTTACTCAAGTTATCGCTTGCGCGGACAGACGGACGAACAGTCACCTATATTTTAACTCGCTTCGTCAGCCTGATCATTTAGGTATATGCATATAACTCCATATCTTTCCCGATTAGTTTTAGGTGATACAAACAACCGTTAGGTGATCAAAACTATTATAATCTGTGCAACATGTTGCCAGTGTATTCAAATAAATACAATTTATGGGTATTTTTCAAAATAGGCTAAGTAAACTTCATGAGGATGTTACGTTTCAAATGATTTACGAAGTGTAAAAATAAACTGATTCGTAAGTGCATACTTGTAGATATTTCTGATGTGTTTCATTACTGCGTCAGTTTCGTAACATACATACATACATATATATCATATCAACATACCGTTGGTTAGAAACAATTGTAATCTATACGTTATAAGTACGTTGAAATGTATTAAAATACACATTTATATATGTAATTAATAAACCATACCTACCACTTTTAGAATACTTATATTTTCGTAGAAGTGTTACTGGTAATCCCGGAATCAGTAATTAAAAACTTTCTTTTTTATGTGGTGTACTGTATTGTGTATTTTAATATTGAAAAAAATGTATACATATATTCACACAAATTTAGTTATCGTCCGCTTAAACCTAAAAATAATTTAATTTACAAAATTTATTTTTTAAGAGAGCATACACATTTAGAAGCATTTACCAAGATATCGTATAACTTATAAGCGAGGACAAATTCGCAGAAAATAGTGCTGTTATTTTTATTACGCTTATTAACACTGGAGTGGGGAGCTAAAGAAATTCGTATTGCGGTGATTTATTTTCATAAGTGTGTGAACAAGTGAAATGTTCGGAGTTCTCAAAGACCTTAATATTTAAAGATTGTTTGTTTACCACATTATTGATGGTTTCCCCAAACGTCTACAGTTGATGACAGAAAGGGATGTGGTCGTTCTCGCTTTCGCATTCGCAGAAGTCCCCTGTTGTCAAGGGATATATCGACCAGATCAACGTCAAGGTTTATTCGAGATGATCTCCACTTGAAAGCCTACCGTCGGTTTACTGGTCATCTTCTGACAACATGCTTGAAGACCCCTGCTATCAAGGGATATATCGAAGAGATCAACGTCAAGATTTATTCGAGATGATCTCCACTTGAAAGCCTACCGTCGGTCTTTTGGTCGACAGGCATGGCCTGTCGAATACCCCACAGAAATTTGGAAAGTCTCAAAAACCCTTTAGTTCGAGCAGCGTCGTCAATACCGATAAAAATGTGCGTTCTGCTATTGATCGATGGCTTATGTGACCATTTCGAATAAAATTTTGTACATCACCCATTTAATATATGCACTAATAACTCTTTTAAAAAATTAATTATAGTTTCATTTTTATAACGGTCTGAACATGTAACAGAACTTATGACAGGACGAAGTACATGACTAAACAATATCAACTGCTAATAAGTATTTGTTTCCAATACATAGGTACATACGTGCCTGTATAAGGTATGCCATGCAATATACTCCCATGTACATCCCCCTAATTAGTCAAAGCTAATTGTCAACACTACGTTCATTATTTACCCATCCTTCGGCGAACATTACATTCAACAGTGTTTTCTTTTAATTTAAAACACATTGTGATTACTGCATCCATAGCATACATCAAAGTTTTGCAAACAATTAAAAAGTAATGAAAAACTTTGCTTTTCTTGATGCTTAATAAAAGAAACACTTAAATGTTAGACCAAAGAAAGCATACATACATATGTATATACAAAAATGAATGCAGTTATACCCTGCAGTAGAAAAAGAGAGTCAGTCGGCTAATAGCTATCGAATTCCGCACCATGTATTTTTTGTTTTTTAACTGGTTCATGAGTTCTTAGAAACTACGGGCTGATGTCAGTTTTATCAAATATTCATACATTTTTACTAATAACAGATTTTAATTCATGCACTGATGATTAATTGGAGTTAAAGTTTACAAACAACTTTTGTATACAGACTTTTTGGAAAACTTACCTTCTTATGTCACAAACACACTGTATTTTGTGTATTTGAAGTAATTATTTTGTCTCCTGTATTTTAATCTAACATCGAAAAAAACCGAATATTCAATCAAAAGTTCTCAAGTCAAAATATCAGATTTGTTCAAAAATTCAGAATATAAACCCTATTCGTTAAAGTCTCGTGACTTCGGTTGCACCGAGGCTATAATACCCTTCACAAACACAAAAGATTCCTTGCAATAACTTTGATCGGTCAGTTTGTATGGCAGCTATAGCATAGTGATTTGATCTAAACAATTGTTCCTTTCATTTTAAATGTTACAACATCGTGGAAATCTTAATATACAGAGTATAAAAACTTTGCTCAAACACAACAATGTTATTGCTGTCGAGCACTAAGCATGTATCGCGTAAATTATTTTAAATGTAGTGGACGATTTGTAGCACGATTTGTTTTTCTTTTAAAACAGGTCCCAATCGAACGACTACCTATTCATTGTATCTTAATATCTTTTCAGTAAGCATTTTCTTAAGGTCTATGGACAAAAAACAAACGCTTTGGGCCGGATTTGCAGTCTAATATGGATGCGGAGGCGTTTCAATTCTTAATTCATATAATATTAGTATTTCGTCGGTTTTTATTTTTTAACTTTGTTTATTTGTTAACGCTAAAACGTAGAATGACGAATAATACCAAGCTTTCTGATATAAATAACTATGGAAGTTTTGTTAATTACATATATACATACACACATAAGTGTCTAAAATATGTTTCCATGAAACTCCTTCTAAAGTGTAACGTAACAAAACTTCAGCCTGGTTATATTCACTTATGGATATTGACACTTATGGAGTTTAGATTCACAATTTGGTCCACTGGAAAATGTTTATTTTTCATTTATAAGTAGTTGCTAATTTTGGAATGTTTTACATTGGATCCGGTAGACTGCGCTACCAGCGCAGATGTTAGAACGTTTCACATAGAATTCCGGCAGACAGACTTTTCTCGCGGCTAATTATACGTTGCGTGTTCGAGAGTAGGAAAACCATCGAATTTATTTGTTTATACCTCTCAAGGATTAACCAAAAATATTGTACATTCTATGGTATTACCATAACTTCAGTTTTTGTAGATAATTACCTCTAAGAATAAACACCCGTTATAGAATAGATTCAACCTTTTCACAATCAATTAAGGGGTTACATGGGTTTCACGGTTTCAAAAAATCGGAAATTTTTTTTTTGTCTTATTATATCTTATATTTTTTGTCTCTATAACATCTCTAGAATATTGTCCTAAATTTTCAAGTTGATCCGACTAATAGTTTCGGAGATACAGCCTTGAAAAGGCGGCCGCTCGAGGTCAGATATAAGCACTTTTATTGTCTCTTAAAACTTTAAACGCGTTTTTCTCAAAACTATGTTTTCAAAGTCGGTTGTCAAGATTTCTCGCGAACTACTCAACCGATCTTGAGGAAATTTTACACAGGTCTTCGAGATATCATTTACAAGGTCTTTAACGAAGGATTTTTTTTTTATAATTACAACTATTTAAAAAAAAAATGTCGAGATGATGTTTTTATAAAAACGTCTGCCAAAAATCCAATTTTTTTTCTTTCGTTCAGTACCTAGTTTATTGTCTTTACTAAAACACGAATTTTTTTCTTTTTACTTCTGATGAAGTATTAATTATTAAATTTAAATAAAATATTAGTAAATATGTATCTTTTAAATAAAAAAAAGTTTCATTAAAATATTTCATTTTTTATATGTAAAAAAAATTATTGAAAAAAGTCCGTTTTTTGCCCGAGGAAACCCATGTAACCCCTTAAAACGACTTCAAGTTTTCATTCAACACAGCTTCTACAATTAACATCTCTGAAAGCATTCTAATATACATATTGACACGCTATCGATTGGTCGGATTGTGATAAATATATATGAATGAAGTTAGATATTGTAATAAGTTTCTAATCAAAATTTTTATCAAAACGGTCTAATTGTTACGTGATACAGGACAACGCCTGTCGTTCTTCTAGTTGATATATAAATTAATTATTATTTTGTGAATATAGTTTTTAATAATATACCCTACAAGATAGAGGCAGTTATATAACACAGGCAGTGGAGATTTTAGTTCGAATTCAGAAGAATTTACTAAGTAACATCAATATTAAAAATATGTAGAAAGGAAACACCGCCCCAGGAATAAAATTCTGAATCTAATATTGAACGCAGAAAACAGATATCACAAATACAATCACATTTTCCAGCTGTTTATCAACACATGGACATTCACTGTCGCTTCTAATTAATCGTTTGTAGAAGTTAATTTAATATAATTACAGATACAAATTTTTATGCCTTAGCTGGAAGTAAAAAAGGATTCAGAATACAAGTAAGTTGATTGTGTAATCCATACTGCCATACTAATATTATAAATGTGAATGTAAGTTTGTTTGTTACCCTTTCACGCCGAAACCACCTAACCGATCATCATGAAACTTTGTACACACATTCCTAATGGTATTAGAAAGGATATTGGATATTTATTTTTTAAAACAAATAAACTGTAATATATCTATATTTTTAACGAATTATGAAAAAAAAAATATTTTGGCAGATGATATCGGTTTGTAAAATAAATTTGAAAATTGAATAAATTAATTTAGCAGACATGATTGTTTGTCGAATAATTTCCAAATGTAACAAAACAAAAATGCATCAAAAGCGTTATTCAGACGAAATTGGAGTTTTCTGGTTACCACCACCACCACCACGAAGATGATCATCGCGGTAAAGTGTTTGTGTACATACATACTATGTATTTAGTTATTTGATTTTGTTACTTATTTGAGAGATTCAATGCAGGCGATGCCGCGGGTAAATATTTAATAAACCTTTTAACAAATATACATACATAATTATAATTAAATATATTTTTACTTTCTTTGCTTTCAGGACATTATTGGTGAAAAGCGCAGTTAACAAAAACATAAAGTACGAGTATATATTAGTTGCTTAAAATTTTTTGTATGTATGTACTTATACATTTACCTATGTTTCAAGTATAAGTAATTCCCTATAATATTGTACAGTTGGAATTAAGTATCAAAGTTAATTAATATGAAAATAAAGATATATTTTTGTTTTTAATATTTAATTGTAAACTTATTATATATATATCATTTTAAGGTACTAATTAGTTATTTCAGTGTCTAGTTTAACTAAGAATTTTTGATTAAAATAAAATAAAAATCTAAAAAACGAGAATTAAAAAGGAATTATTGAATTGGTTATAGTTGCCAAAAGGTAACCGATGGGTCTACGTATAAATTTTCCATTAGTAACATTGTGCTAACCTAACCAAAAATAACACACAGAAATTTGTGTTTTAGATACTTTGATTATGGGTTATGTGCACTGTAAACAGAAAGTAACAATTTACCATAATTATAATTGGATAGAACAATAAGAACATTGAACATCAAGCGGAAATGTGTTAGTTTTTGCTTTACTAACCGATACCAGTCTTGCAGGGTAGATTTCCTTCGGAGACATACCCTAATGCAAGAAAATCATTCACATGTAGATGACACTGTTGTCGCAAATTTAAAACAGTTTCAGCAACCTAAGTGTTGAATAAACTCTTCACTTTTGTTAAATATTCTGAAAACGGCTTGAAGGGGCGATTTATTTTCTCAGGTAACTAATCGTCAAATATTTACTGCATCCGATTAATTAAGAAGAAAATAATTTAGAGGTTGGAATGTTTAAGTATTAGATTTTATTTTTTTTGTGTTAAATCTCTTAAATATTGGCTAGTGCCATCAAATATCAAAATATAACCTCAGCATATTGTGATTTTTAATGCCGTCAAAGTGATTTTTTTTTTGTTTTTGAAAAATTTGGTCTTATCTATGAAAAGTTATAGTATATTCCAAAGTTTTTGAAATTTATGTTTCCAGATAAAGTTACATATAACATCGCTGCAATGACTGCCGAAGTTACAGAAATCCTTACTGACGCTGCCGCTTCTGCTACTACTGAAGTAAAAGCTGCAGAAGTACGCATTGAAGATGATGCTAGCGATTGTGGATCTGAGGACAGCATTCCTGAGCTGGAAGATGCTGCTGCAGGTACTACACAGTTGGGGGGCGGTGCCACTGGTCTCCCTGTTGATTTGGTTTCCAAAGCCAAGCAATCGCGTGGTGAAAAAAAAGCACGAAAAATTATGCTTAAACTTGGATTAAAGCAAATTCAAGGAGTTAATCGTGTGACAATTCGCAAGTCGAAGAATATACTTTTTGTAATTAACAATCCTGATGTATACAAAAATCCACACAGCGACACATATATTGTATTCGGTGAGGCAAAGATTGAAGATTTATCTCAGCAGGCCCAAGTCGCAGCTGCTGAAAAATTCAAAGCTCCTGAAGCGGCAAGTATTGCAGAGACATTAGGCACAACTTCATCAGTAGCGCCTATTGCAGAGGAGGATGAAGAAGAAGTAGATGAGACCGGCGTCGATGAGAAAGATATTGAACTGGTAATCACTCAGGCTAACACTACACGTGCAAAGGCCATAAGAGCTCTTAAAAAACACAACAATGATATTGTTAACGCAATTATGGAGTTAACGATGATTTAAACGCACTTGTATGTGAAACGACTGCGTTACAATCGAGTAAAGAGTACCCGCCTTAAGACATTTGAAAATTTACCATACCACAAAGAAGCGTCTACGACCAGACAAAGCCAAGTAAATATAATGAACGAATTATGTTTCGTTCCAGCCGTTAGTCTAATAACAGTTTCAGTTTTGTATTCATTTGTATTGCTGTAATGTGAAGTCGTAATAAATTGAATGCAATATATATATAAAAATTGATATATAAATACTTTAATCATTTCGGATAGATCTTCCATATATATAGGGGGTTTTTTTTAAATAATATTCTAGTGTCTGACAGAACTCATATTTTTTTTTTGTCAAACAGTATATTTCGTATATACGTAATTCTTTGGTTTTCGGTATATGAATTAATTTTTTTGTACTTGATTGGAACTGAAACTTAACTACTATATGTTATTGAAGATTTTCTAATTAAGTAATTATCTTCTTCATAAAATAACTCGAAAATGATGAACAAGTTTGGGAAAAACATTAATAATATAATTAAATATCATCTGCTGCCGTTCTGATAGTTCTTGAAACTTAAAACTTTAAAATGATTTGATTTTCATCAAAGATTTTGCTATACCGTATAATTCAATATGAAAAATAGAGTTTGCATGGCTATATGGATTTATATTTTACTGAAAGTCTGCCTCAATCAAGTTAGGCACGAAGTTAGTAACAAGCAGAAGGAAACGTCGGACACCCCATTAAGTATATATATAAATGATCCACGCCGAGCTGAGCGGTTTAGCAATGTCCGTTTGTCTATATATACGCAAATTTGTCCCTCAGATTTTGAGATATAGAAGCTGTTAGCTAGTGCTTCTAGCTGTCATACACACTGATCGATCAAAATCAAGTCCAAAATCAGTATCAAAAACTTTTTTATTTGACAAGACATCTTTAAGATATTTGGAACGGATTATTGTTGTTGTTGTTGCAACGGTTACCTAGTCCCCGTTTGGGTGATCAATTCCAGATTGGTTGTCGTCGAGGTCATCTAACGGGAGGCCCAGGAAACGAACTGTTTCGACGGGGTCGGACCATAGGTAAAAGGGTGTTAGATGAGTGGGGTTTGTTGGGCATGCAAAGAGGTGGTTAGTGTCATGCGGAGACTCATTGCACGCAGAACATGTGTATGGTATGTCGGTGTTTATTCTGGATAAGTAGCAGTTTAACCTGCTACAATATCCAGAACGAAGTTGCGCGGGGGTCACTCTGGTTTCGCGAGGCAACTCGAGCTCTACGTCTGCTATGGGTAGTGGTTTGACTCATAATACGCCATTCACTGAGAGGGAGTCGGTGAAGGTGTTGATGGCTCCACTGTGAATGGCGGTCAGTGTCTGTCTGAAGTTCGTTGCGTCCGAAGTCCGGTCGGCGTACTGTCTAATGTCGTCGAGGTAATCAAGGAAATACTTCTTGATGTTACTAAGATTATTGTCTAAAGCAACAGTGCAATCTCCGAAGAAATAGTATTATAGCTTCGGTGCAGTCGAAATTAACGTTTATTCTTTTTTTTTTTTTTTTGTTTTTTGCTTCAAGAAATTTTAAAAAACATGATCCGGATCTTCACCCTCCTGTCACTTCCAAGATTTGTACTATAAATTAAGAAGCATTCGATCTCAACTGTTATTATTTAGGTTGACTAGTTACTTTTATTAAATCATGTATAGAATTTATAAAAATGTACATATAAATAATTAGACTTTATGTACATTTTAACATTTAAACATATGCACTAGCTCTCAAGCTTCAACATGCGTACCTGACTGCGGGATTGTAAACGTATGTCGGCAGGAGTCTGCATCCATGGTTCTCCATCCGATTGCATTGGGCAGGTAGACTTTATAACAATCTAAAGAGTTAACTGTAAATTATTTTATGCGCACTTAGATTAAATAGTAATCCTACTCGTATTTGTTTAGCTTGACCGATGCGCACTGGTTTACTTATGCCACACTGCAATTGTGCCATATGAAAGGACGACACAAGTCCAAAAACCTCTAACATGCCATCCGAAATTGAATTTTCCATCTTACATTTTGAATCTGAATTGCTAAGTTCTGATAAACAGTTCTTATTAAAATTTAAATAATTACGTATAAACCTATATGATATTTTTTAAAACCCACCGCATAATTTACAACCAGCTCCCCATGAATCAATATTAAGGAATATAATTGATTGCAATTCTGGTAATTCTACAATATGACCATCCAAGTATAGATCTAGTTTTTGTTCGATCCGTTCGCAATCGCGTTGAACAATTTGTTGTGTGCCGAAGCCAAAATATATTAACTATGAAAAATAGTATAAAATCAATTTTTTGTTGATTATAACCAATGATTTTGCTACCTTATTAAAAATTCGACTACTCAACAAGTAAAATCGAGATTCTCGAGTTTTGTGAAAATTATAAGTGACCAATGCATCTACTCCAATACTATAGTAATTATAGACATGTATCGTTTTGATAGGATGTCTCTGGATTGGTAAACGATAATACAGTTTTTCAATTTGTAAATCGAAACGATCCAAATTTACTGATCGTGCGTTTTTTATCTAAATATTAAAGGAATAAGTAACTTTAAAATCTATAAAGTCCAGTCAAAATACTTACATTTCTGAGTATTGTAACAGGGTCCAAAATATTAGGAGGTTGCGAACCCCAACCCATTACCCGTGAAAGGTCATTTCCTGTCCCCAAAGGCATGATTGCAACTGAGGGCACAGGCTTCAATTTTATAATTATAATAAAATATATATTAGATATAACTTTAAATATATTACCTTTATATTAAGCGCAGATATAGTATTTAACACCCATCCTACTGTTCCGTCCCCACCTGCAACTAAGATTCGACAAGGACGCGGACTGGTTTTTGCAGCCCATTGCATAGCATCTTGTGGTCCCCGACCACCCAACTCCATTACTTGAAGTGGATGCAAATAACCGCGAAGCAATGCTACCACATGTGACCCGGTACTGCTGCCAGATCTCGTATTGGCAATAACAATTAAAGGTTCCCAACCTTCAATGTTAGGTGGTTTAATACCAGCCAAATGCAATCGCACAGACTCACGTGTACGTGCAGCAATAATGCAATACGGTGGAAATATCATATCCTGAAATTCTCCCAAATCGCATTCAGCTCTTGTATCAATACTTTTATAGCAGTTATTGTGATAGCAGCGTTGGCACCAAGCGCACCGCCAGCCAAAGAGACCCGCTGTTGCATGGTAATCGATTTCAACATCACATAATGAGCAACCAACGCCAACTGGCAAGTTACCACGAATCCATAAATGACGCATGACCTTTTCATGACGGAGCCATTTATCTTTACATTTAAAATTAGTATCAATTTTTTTGGTACAGGCATGGGCGGAATGGGTACAAATACCACAGCAATCGCAAAAGAGACCCTCTGCATTAGTTAACAGAATTTCACAAGCGTTGCAATAACATGCCTAGATAATAAAATATAAATATTAATATAAATTTCTTTTTACATATCTATGTACATCTATATAAAAGAAAATTGTGTTCTTACCTTATCTAATATTTTGATAGACTTCCAGCTATGCTTAGTTTTTCCAGGAATACAAATAACATCCTCTAGTAATAAATTGCGGCAAAAAGCGAATATCGCGCATAATGCTAATAGAGATCCAATTAATGCTTCGGAGCTCAATTCGAAGCTGGCGAGTTCTATATTCATTGTGTTATTCTTTTCTTGTACAGCCTTAATGAATCCATATATTAGCTGTATATTATTTAAAATATTTGCTCCACATTATTGACCTTGAAAATAAAGTTAATTTAACGCATTCATTTGGAGGAATTTAACAATAAATACGCACTGCAGTATTACTAAACCTTGATATTCAGCAAATCAAATAAAAATCGATAATTGAGTAAAATATTTATTAATAAAAATGAAAACAAAACCTCTCTTCTTCTTTTCCCCAGGCATATGTTCACGGTCGATACACAGCTGATTCCTCTAAATGCCAAAATTAATCCTCATTCCGCTATTTGAATTCACAAATAAAGTCACTTTACTAAAGTGTCAAAAGTTCTTTCAATGTATTGCTCTTTCATTCCACGTGTTGTTCCTTATTACGATTAGAAATTTCACGTTGAGTTGTTAGAAACAAATAAAATTTCATTAATAATAGTACAATGGGACGGAAAGCAGAATTTAGTGAAAAGCCAAAAAAAGGTCCTGGGCGAAAGTCCCGCAAGCAAAAGCCGCCCACTTTCCCGAAACAATCGTTTGGTAAGAGTTGTATCAATACAAAATACATAAAACCTTAAATATACAATTTCTTACAGCGCCTTCAAATGACATGGATGATAAAAAGCTATCACATCGTCAAAAACAACGCTTGGTTAAACGTGATCAGAAAAAAGAAATCCAAAAGGTAAAAAAGCAGAAACATAATATGAAGTTAAGCCAAGAAAATAATAGTAGATCTAATGAACAAAGAAGGAAATTAAGTGAAGGTCCCGATGTAACCGACGATGTAGAATTTCAAAATAAATACAACACTAATAAGCTACAAGGATTTTTAGGGATCCAACAGCATTTGAAATCTCAAAAACAAAAAATTGTGGGATTTACAGACGATAATAAAGAGTGGCTGAAACCCAAGCAGTCAAAAAAGCTAAAGAAAATTAAATCTAGCGATGACCAAGACCAAGAAAAGTATGAAGATGAGAAAAATGAAGAAAATGAGCAAGACTTACTAGAAGAACAAACAGAAAATGAAGGAGAAGAAAATGGCGAAGAAGATGCATTTAAAGAAACTCTTAAAGTTGAAAAGCTAGATGACATATCTGATTATGATGATGAAAATTCCAATTCAGATGACGACTTTGAGTTATCTGATAGAGAGGATACTGATTCTATCATTAGTGAATTTAAAGACAATGAAGTTGACGACAGCCTGTTACCGATCGAACGGGAAAATAAAAAGTTAAGGAAACGTGAAGCTATGGAAGCCGAAATGTCTACCAAAGAGATGCAAATGTCGATTGATCGTCAAGAGGTTTTCGAATTTCCAGAAAAAGATGAAGATAACCAAAAGGAAATAACACTTCAAGAAATACAACAACGTATTAAGGATCTTACGCTTGTATTATCAGATTTCAAAAAGTACCGCCAACAAGATCGTTCTCGGCAAGAATATTTAGATCTATTACGCCACGACCTTTGCATCTATTACAGCTATAATGATTTTCTAATGGGCAAATTAATGGATATTTTCGCATTGACGGAACTTATGGAATATTTAGAAACCTCTGAGGTGAGTAATTATAATTTTTACTTTGTGGTTAAAAATCTAAAGAAAAAATAATTTAATTAGGTTCCACGCCCATTAACTATTCGTACGAATTCTTTAAAAACACGTAGAAGAGATTTGGCTGCATCATTAATTAACCGCGGCGTCAACTTAGATCCTTTGGGCAAATGGACTAAAGTCGGTTTAGTTGTTTATAATTCGCAAGTTCCCCTTGGTGCCACTCCCGAATACTTAGCTGGCCACTATATGATTCAGGGAGCATCGTCAATGCTGCCTGTTATGGCGTTAGCACCTCAAGAGAATGAACGTATTCTAGATATGTGTTCTGCACCAGGCGGCAAGGGGTCGCATATTGCCTCGATTATGAAAAACACAGGTGTTCTTTTTGCGAATGATGCCAATCAGGAGCGGATAAAAGCAGTAGTAGCAAATTTTCATCGCCTTGGCGTTATTAACGCTATTGTCAGCTGTGAAGATGGTTGTAAATTTCGTAATTTAATATCTGGATTTGATCGTATTCTCTTAGATGCTCCGTGCACAGGCACAGGTGTTGTGGCTAAAGACCCAAGTGTCAAATCAACAAAGAATGAGGTAGATGTACAGCGTTGTTATAATCTTCAACGTAAGTTGTTGTTAACTGCCATTGATTGTGTGGATGCTAAATCTAAAACGGGTGGATACATTGTGTATTCAACATGTTCAGTATTGCCTGAAGAGAATGAATGGGTCATAGACTATGCCCTCAGAAAACGAAATGTTAAGCTTGTTCCAACTGGTTTAGATTTTGGCGTTGAAGGCTTTACAAAATATCGCCAATATCGCTTTCATCCCAGTTTAAATTTAACTCGGCGTTATTATCCCCATATACATAATATGGATGGTTTTTATGTAGCAAAATTGAAAAAATTCTCAAACACCATTCCGATGACTACGGAACAACAAGAAGCGGATGAAAAAATTTTGGATGACGCGATAACGAACGCTACAACTATGGTGGATAATAATTCCAACAATACTGAAGAACTGGAATATGAAAAAAAGGGGACACGGAAACTACTCGGAAAGCAAGCAGGAAAGCCAAACCTTTCAGAAGTGGAATTAGATATAAAGAAGAAAAAAATGGAACAAAATAGGAATAAATACATTGCTAATGTTTTTGAAAAACCATTAAAAGTGAACAAAAATGAAATGGAAGTGCAACCAGAAAATCAAACAACAATAATTGAAAAACAAAACAACAAAAAAAAATTTAATATGGTTGAATTAAACGGCCATGATGCACAAATCGAATCTGAAGGCAAAAATACACAACAAACTAAACTGAATACAAAAAAACAGAAAGATCTCCCTCAAGGGAAGGTAAAACTAATGAAACGACAACATAAATTAAAGCAGAAAACAAAACTGATTGGCCAACTGAAAAATGATAAATCTAAAACACACAAAAATAAAAAAAATTAGTTCAAATATAATTTTTAAAACCCGCAAAAGCAAAGATATATATTTTATTTTGAAATATATGTAACTTAAGCATATTTTTATAAGTTTAAGTAATGCTTAAGGTTTGAATACACTAGGTATTAAAAAAAATTATGTGAAATTCTGCCACTTTAGTTTGGTTATGAAATAAAAAAGTGATATGCGAATTTCTAAATAATTTACATTTTGAACATCCTTAAAAATAATATATAAATTGATGCTAATTCAATAATTTCATACATTTTAACGGTGAATTTAATTGACATTAAGTTATATTGCTCTTGAGATTGCATGGTAAGTATTTTAGTTGAAAATACTTTGTTGTATCCAGTTTTGCTGTTGTTGTTGTAACGGTTATCTAGTCCCCGCTTGGATGGTAAGTGATATTTGGTTGTCGCCGAGGTCATCTAACGGGAGGCCCAAGAAACGGGCTGTTTCGACGGGGTCGGACCATAGGGAAAAGGGTGTTAGATGAGTTGTGTTTGTTGAGCTTGCAAAGAGGTGGTTAGTATCATGCGGGGCCTCATTGCATGCAGGACATGTGTTTGGTATATCGGGGTCCATTCTGGATAAGTAGGAATTTAACCTGCTACAATATCCAGAACGAAGTTGCGCGAGGGTCACTCTGGTTTCGCGGGGCAACTCGAGCTCTACGTCTGCTATAGGTGGTGGTTTGACTCCTAGTACGCCATTCACTGAGAGGGAGTCGATGAAGGTGTTAATGGCTCCACTGTGAATGGCGGTCAGTGCTCGTCTGTAGTTTGTTGCGTCCGAAGTCCGGTCGACGTACTGTCTGATGTCGTCGACGTAATCAAGGAATGACCTTTTGATGTTCCTAGGAGGCGGTTCCGCTCCAAGCAGGCGACTGCAGGGGGGATTTCTGCGAAAACACCCCAGCAGAAACTGCTTGGAGAGGAGCTCATTATGTTCCTTAACCGGAAGCATAAGGGCCTAACTATGTAGGTGTTCAATTGGGGACATCAAGAGGCCCCCAGCGATAGTCCGGAGTGCAGTGTTTTGACAAGTCTGAAGCTTCCTCGTCTGCGTTGCACTACATCTAGGCGACCAAATTGGTGATTTGGATGTACTGTCGGAATTTTTGTGCCATCGACTGAAATGTTCAAGTCCAGTCTGTACTCCTTCGTCCAATTTGTGAAGATGGTTGCTGTGGATTTAGTGGGGGAGAGTGTTAGGCTCCTTGCAGAGAAGAAGCGATAAAGATCGGAGAGGTAGCTGTTTACTTTTGAGCACATGCCATCGATTCCAGTTTTGCTAGTTGGGAACCGTAATGCCCATCGAATATCAGTTCAAACTCACTAAACAACTTGAACGTCAGTTTTTCAAATCAAGATGAGATAATTAGTTTAGTCTCTAAATTTAAATTAATCTAACGCGTATTAAAGAACATCGTTAATAATACAATCGACTTATTTAACAAAGATTTCGGTATTAAATATTCGGCACGATTACGACCTTTTTGACGCCACGATCTGATGGTATAGACGGATAGAGGAGGTCCTCAGAATTAAAATATGTATATACATATACTCGCCTCAGACTTATAGTTTTCGAGATACTTGTATATAAATTTCAAAAATTGTACTGTGAAAAATTGTAAAAAAAGTTTTCCATACAAGTATTTGATTCCGATTGTTCAGTTTGTATGGCAGCTATAAGCAATAGTGGTCCGAAATCGGTCGTTCCACTACACTTAAACACTTTTTGGTAGCAAATTAATTGTCTATAATTATTATATGCTTACACGATTGGCGCCAGTTTCCTTGGTTGTAAGTTTTTTTACATAGTTCACACTTGAAAAGCATGTTATAAAGTTGCATTCTAGGAAGGGCTATCAATACATGAGTTCTAAGACTGTCATCTATAGACTTACATCTGTAGGTATAGCTGAGCATAATAAAATTAAAGAGAATAATTGCAACTATTTTTACTACTGTTAAATTTTAACTTTCCATGCAAGCAAGTTTGGTATGGTAGATGGGCGTAATCAGACTACTGCCACACCCACAAAACGTCATTAATCGAAAATTTTTAAAGTGTCATAACTAAGCCATGCCGAAAATTAAGATGCAAAACTGTTGTTGTTGTTGTGGCGGCAGAATTCTGTTGAGTTGACAGTCCTTGGCCGGATAAAAATCCGAGTCCGTTCCAGTTACGTAAGCCCGACTCTCGTGGGAACGGATACAAAACTGTAATTTTATACAGGAGATCGCAGTAACCAGGGACACCTGTAGGCTAAACAATTTGTAAAAGCAGCTGTGGCTCCGCTCCCTAAATGGTTTAATGTACATATCTTCCAAACCGCTTAAGATATATCAACCCAGAAGCCATTTTATCACCTCTTCAAACTCTGTGAAAATGGGACCACCTATATGTGAAATCCTATATCTCAGGAATTACTCGACCGATTTCAACCCAAGCATTCCAAGCAAAAATGGGCGAAATCGGATGACAACCCGCCTAATTCTCATATAACAAACTTTTAAATTCCGTCTGATCCTTTTACTTTACAGTATACAAATCTAACATCAAAAAAAATCAGAATAAAACTTTGTACAAATAGTGCCCTCAAGGTATTTCATCTTACGCAAAACTTGTGCTAAAAATGGGTAAAAGCAGGTAACCTATCTACCTAATATAAATATTTTCGAAACTCCGGTTCACTTTATACCGCATCTATCGGTCAATATGCAAGAAATCTTAATGCAATTCAGAAGAATATTTTTCTAATAACAGTGTATGCTCTTTTCTTAAATGAATGAAAGCACGGCGATACTTTCCCTAGTTTGATATAAAGTTTTTACAAAACTTCCGCCTTTGTTCCTTGCCAGTACACCCGAACTTAGCGCTTCCTTATTTGTTAACTTTCTTTTCTTTTGTGAGAAACCTTTGACTTTCGCTTACTGTAAAAATTTGCATAAAAAAATTAAATGAATTTTGTGAAAATTTCCTAAAAATCATAAAACTGCTTACTGGGACATATCATTTTTTTGTGTATGTCAAACTTAACACAAGGTAAATAAATAAATGCAGATACATACATATATACAGAGCTAAAGTAAATAAAGAAATCAGTGACAGATATTTATACATGTTTATTATATTTGCGTTAAGAAATGATATATAAGAGCTGTTCATCGCGGCATTTGAGCGTTAATGCCTTTTTACTGATCATTACGATCTCAGCAATGTTAGCGAAAGATAGTGTCGACGCTCAAAACAACAGCAAAAAATATGTTCGAAAAGCTAATGAATGCTCGGAACATTGTATAATGGATAATATTTCACTTGTTCCTGGGGATATTGCTCGGTACGATCACTATCGGGTTTACAGTGTTACATTGGATACAGATAAGCATGTGGATCTCTTTCAAAAGTTGGAACAGCAGAGCGACAGTTTGACTTTTATGGGACATGCAAGGGAAGTAGGACAAAAGTTGACAGTTTTAGTGGCTGCACATAAAGTTGCCGACTTTGCAGACTTATTGCAAACGTTTCATGTTAATCATCGCATATTGGTATGCATATAAGTATAAGAAAACAATCACAATGCAGATACATACTTATATATAATAGATACATATATATTTGAAAATTTGCGAACTTGTTCTTTCAGACATTCAATTTCCAGGAGAAAATAGATCGGAACATGAAGGAAGTATTGCCAGCAGAAACGCCAGGTTCTGCACTCGATTGGAAACATTTTTTTCACTTGAAAACTATTTATTCGTGGTTGGAATATATGGTGGCACAATATCCCAAAGATCTGACAATAATTGATATGGGCAATAGTACAGAGGGTGTTCCTATAAGGGGTTTAAAATTGTCACGGAATAAGTCTAACAAAGCTATATTTATAGAGAGTGGTATCCATGCTCGCGAATGGATTGCTCCTGCTGCAGCTACATATCTTTTAAATGAGCTGCTAACTACAAAGGAAGAGGCTGTTCGAAAGTTGGCAAACAATTATAACTGGATTGTATTCCCTTGCGTCAACCCAGATGGATATAAATATACGTTTGAGCATGACCGAATGTGGCGAAAGAATCGTCAACTATTTGACATATGCCGTGGTGTTGATTTGAATCGCAATTATCCAGATCACTGGAATACCACCGGGGCTAGTGGTGATCCATGCCGCTATGATTATTCCGGTCCCAATGCAGCAAGTGAAACTGAAACTAAACGTTTGATGGACTTTCTTAATATGCACGCGGAAAAGGAGCATATTAGAACTTATATAGCCTTACATTCTTATTCACAAATGATAATGTTCCCTTATGGGTACACCAAGGAGCATATAGCGAACTATGATGATTTACAAGAATTTGGACGTAATGCTGTCGGTCGTATACGTGAACTTACAGGTCGTAATTACACAAGCGGAAGTTTGATTGAAACAATTTATCCATCTAGTGGAGGCAGTATGGATTGGGCGTACAGCAAAATAAAAATACCTATTGCCTATACTTTCGAATTGCGGGGGCCTCCAGATAGCTCGGATATGTTTATATTACCGGCAAATGAGATTGAACCCACGTCTCAAGAGGCATTTGCTGCTATTAGAACCATAGTAGAAGGAGCTACGAAAAAGGGATACTATAAATAATCAAGTGACTTTAATCTGTGCATTTATGTATATCAACAAAATTCTTATAATATATGTATATTTAGGGAACCAATAAATGAGTAGCATTCTAAATATGGCGTATATAAACTTACCGAAATATGTTTGCTTAAAATAATTATAAGCTTATCTAACAAATGAGCATCAACATTTACAAAGTCTACTTGAATTTCTATATATGCAACATTTTATCCACATTAGCCATTATGAGATAAGAAATTATCTTAGTTACGATTAACTTACACAGTTTACCAGATTTAAGTATCTGACTTAACGACTACTTGATTATAGAAGCAAAATATAATCATATGGAAAACTGTGTGTGAGTTTAAATTAAAAGAAAAACACTTGTTTTACCTTCTCCACATCGAGAGAAGAAACTTTTAAAAATCTTCAAGAAATTTACATTTTTCGAACATATTTTGTAGATCGGACTACTATAACATATAGTTGCTATTGAAACGGACCGATCAAAATCAAGATATATGTAGATCTCCATAAAATATATTTTTTCATTATTAAGTAACCTTTATTCGACTTGGAAGTTACTATATACACCTGTAAATGGTATTACAACTTCGTTGCAGCCGAAGTTAACGTTTTTTCTTAATATCTATAATGTTCAGTCCTGTTGCTTTTTCCCAGAATAAATACCATAAAACTAAAACGGAAGAAATTCTAGGAATTTAGGAGAGGAATTACATATAATATAAATTGACATAATTCAATTCAGCATTTATTATATGTATGTATAAATAATTTCTAAAGGTTTATATTTTCTCCTTTTTTCAGGTATGGAAATAACTTACTGTAGCGGAACTTGTATGAGAAATATTAAATAACATCTCAAAAAAGTTAAACCTATGTATCTCATCATGATAGGCAAAATTCTAATATACCAAATCAAATCACAATAAACAATGTTATATGGGTCAACGTATTATTTGGGTTTGAACGAACAAGTTATGTGATTCCGTGGGGATATACGAGGATCAAATGTTGCGTTTATCTTCACTTGGCACTCTGGAAAAGAATTAAATATATTTGTAATCATTTGATTATATACATAATAGTTATTATTATTAGAACTCACCATTTTCTTGAAGATATAAAGCCCGATCATATAATATTATACTCTCTATTAGAGGTGCAAACATTAGTCGGAGAGTGTAAAAAATAACTATGCGCCGCCAATGGAGTAAATCATTTTGTGTTGTTGTAGTTTGCAAATCAGAACGTGGCAAATTGAAAGCCTCAACTCCTTGAGTTGCTTTGTAGAAATAACTGTAAGAGCATTGAATTTTAGATAGATATGTGCATGTATACTCGTACATAAAACTATGTACGCTATATACATATATAAATATATTAATTTATACATACTCTTCAAAGTTCATACCAGGAACATGCTTCACACTTCGGAGCCCACAATGTTTTAAATTGGGCCATTGGTTTATAATAATTCGCTCTGCGGCCGCTCGGAAAGAATGTACTTTTAAATATTCATAATCACCTCTAGCCAGACGGTCGCAATATATTTCCATAGCATGACAAGATATCTCAAGAGCTTCATAGCTTAAAAACGAGAATTCCTGTTGTTTTAATAAGTATTGGCTAAGAGGATATCCTTGTAGTTTAATATTAGATTGTGTTTCAGACGTAGTTAATTTCATATAACAACAACTAGCGAAATTAAGAAAACGAGCCTGTGGAATATTAGTGAACATACGCATTAATATAACGGCTAAATCACCGCAAGGATGTAACCCAATTATGCCAAACTTAAAATTTGTATTTGGCTTTTGTTGTGATTCAGCAATTATCTGGAGAAACTGCTGTGGTTGCATGTCTGGCGTTATACATAATGTTACATGTTTTGGTCGTCTAAAACAGGCAAGATTCGCCGATGGTATATATTTTTGAAGAACACTTTCCAATTTTACGTCAATACAGCTTGCTTGTACATTGAGTTCTGGGCGCATTTCTATACAAGAAACTTGTACACCGTAGCCATAACCAAGTACTCGTGCAAGATGGCCTAAGCCAGCGCCGAAATCCACAACAAAATCAACTGGTGATATTTGACAACTGTATTCACAAATGGATGCCATTAATTGAATTTCATGGCGTTTCTTAGGTTTAACGCATTTATTAAATGCATGTCCAAGCTTTATGTGGCTAAGAACAGGCCTCCGCGATACACTCTAGTTTTTTTTTAATCATTACTAAGTATTAAATTATGTATTATGGATAGTTTGGATACATGTATTTACCAATTCGATTGAATTTGTAGATTGATCTCTTGGTATACTTAATTGAAACAATAAGTGACGTAAAGTTAATAATGACAACGGCCAAACACCATGCTTCTGCTTACTACACTTGTTATAATTTAAAAGAGTAGTTAACTCTTCAGGATGCAACTCCTCCAAATGTAGCCGCCAACTTTCCGGCAACTTATTCCAATGTTGATCAATGTAAAAATCCTATAAATAAAAACGGTCGAAAAAATTAACCAAAATTCCTTTGCTGAGAATTACAGAATAGGATTTATAATATATTCTATAATTTTTTTATTTTTAGAATGTACATACCAATATGTAAGAATTTATAAGCCAATCATAGAAGCGTAGTATTTGCAAACCATTGGACAATTTAGAGCGTAGACCAACTACCGATGTGCTTTCCATTACGATGGATGTGACCAGAAATTATATAGTATTACCTATGTATGAATTCACGTGTATTTCCATACACATCAATATACCAGAAAACGCAAATTATCTATATTTGCAGTTGGTGAGTGCAAATATTTGATTTGCTCGTACACCATTAAGTTTTTACTTATTGCAGAGAACATTTGTTTGTATATAAAAATATTAAAATTTTGTACTTCTGAAAAATATACTAAAAACATTGAAAGTAAAAATTACTATTACACAAATCTGGTACTTCTGAAAAATATACTAAAAACCAGAGATCTATAAGGAGAAAATAAAAATTATTCATTCACAAATCTGGTATCACTAATAAAAAAGTACTTTTAAAAATATACTAAAAACAGCGAAAATAAAAATTATTCATTCACAAATCTGGTATCACTAATAAAAAAAATATTAAAATTTTGTACTTCTGAAAAATATACTAAAAACATTGAAAGTAAAAATTACTATTACACAAATCTGGTACTTCTGAAAAATATACTAAAAACCAGAGATCTATAAGGAGAAAATAAAAATTATTCATTCACAAATCTGGTATCACTAATAAAAAAGTACTTTTAAAAATATACTAAAAACAACGAAAATAAAAATTATTCATTCACAAATCTGGTATCACTAATAAAAATGTGTCAGAGATCGTATATTTATGTGTACGCTGGTCCGCAATTGAACCAAAGAACGTAAATGAATTTTACGTTCTCTGTTTGCACCTTCTCTTTCACCCAGAAGCGTAAAATATTTCATTTATGTTCTCTGGTTAAAATCAAACACACGTTAATACCATTGTATAAGCCATGGTACAACCGAAAAATATTTGAATATGGAATAAAACATTCTTAAAGTTATTAATTTTAAAACATAACACGGCAACACACTAGAGCAGATTTCTGTCATTTGAACGTTTTAGTAGTAGAATATTGGTTGGAAACCCGTACAAAGTGTGATTTTAGTAGCAGAATATTGGTTGGCAACCCGTACCAAGTGTGATTTTAGTAGTACAATTTTCCAGGCAACCCGTACCAAGTGGGATATTTTTGCGTGTGTATTAGTGAAAATCTTAGGATTGGCAACTTGTAGATTTATACAATGTTAATACGCCGCGAGGTGAGTTCCATTTGCATTCGTCGAACTGGCTACAATTCTCAAACGCATTCTATGATTGTACACATAAAAGCTGTGCACCCAATTTAATATCATTGCGTTGAAACTGCATTTATACCTATTGACTATTATACATGTAATTAGGTACTGTTGAGGTTTTATTAGGACTGTACGTTAGGTAGAATAAGCAGTTCAATGCTAACGTATTGTCAGGGTTAAATAAAAACAATAACCAAAGTAAAAAATAAAGTAATAAAAGAGTGAGATAAACAACATAGACAAACTAGGAGGGTGGGTAAGGGGAAATAATTGTATAGTATATATATAAATATACATATCTTAGTCCCTGAGTGTCCTCTAAACGATGCAATTTGTTTGACCCACCTAGCTTATATCAATATAAATATAATATTATTATAATATATTAAATATGTCTGAGATCGTATATTTATGTGTACGCTGTCCGCAATTGAACCAAAGAACGTAAATGAATTTTACGTTCTCTTTTGCTACTTCTTTCACCAGAAGCGTAAAATATTCATTTATGTTCTCTGGTTAAAATCAAACACGTTAATACCATTGGTGAGTTCCATTTATTCGTCAAGTTGGCTACAATTCTCAACCATTCTATGATTTAACAATAGCTGTGCACCAACATCATTATCAATTTGAAACTGTATTTAATTCCATGACTAATAGAAAGCAAAAATGTGCTGTTATAAAAAAAATATTAAAATTTTGTACTTCTGAAAAATATACTAAAAACATTGAAAGTAAAAATTACTATTACACAAATCTGGTACTTCTGAAAAATATACTAAAAACCAGAGATCTATAAGGAGAAAATAAAAATTATTCATTCACAAATCTGGTATCACTAATAAAAA